CGGCGGCAGGGGGGGAGGGGGCCTGCGGTAGCCAGCATGCGGCGGGCACTGGCCGTGCCATGGGCACCGGCCACACCACAGCCACGCCACCCCATCCCGCAGCCTGTCTGTGCTGTACTGGTTGTGGATCTCGGTGCTGAGCGCTGCCCGGCTGACGGCGAGGCCGCCACCGCCTGTGCGCCGCAGGCTGTAGTGGCGGCTGAAGCGCAGGAGCCGGCGGCGTGACGGATCGGGGCGGCTGCACTCTGCGGGAGGGGACCATCAGTGACTGCCTGCACCGGACCCGCGGGTCGAGAGCACTGCAGTGGCTGAGCCTGCGACTCACCGGTGTAGAGAAGGAAGGTCTGTCCCTCTGCGGCGGCGCCAAGGGCAGCACGGGTGATGGCAGGGAACCGGCTCAGCTCCCGGTAGCAGACGGCAGGGCCGCCGGCCGCCTGGGCCAGGGGAGAAGCATGCTGGCGGAGGACGAGCTCACCCCTCTGCCCGTGCCCACCCCCCCCAAAGCGGGGCTGTGCCCGCCCACACAGCCCCCTGGCTTCCCCTGCCCACCTCCACGCCCCGCTCAGTTCCTGAGGCCATGGGGCCTTGCTCTGCTGCGCTGGGCCACTGGCGCCTGCTGCTCGGCAGCGAGGCAGGCTGCCAAGGTGTGCGCAAGCAGCCCGGCACGAGGGGCCTGGACGGTGCCAGCTCTCCAGCTGCCCCACACTACCCGCTGTGCCTGGGGTGGCTGCGCAGGGTTCCTTCTCTGCTGTAGCACACTGTGTCCTCGGCAGCGCAAACATTGACCTGTGTGGGAGAGGCGTCTGGTGGCCACGAGCCCCTGGGGCACTGGGAGTGGAGGCAACGCTGACACTACTGTTGGAGACACCAGGGGTGCTGAGCTACACCGTTTATTGGGGGGCGGCAGGGGGCTTGTTAGCATTGCAGGTGCTTGAGCAGCCACAGCGCCATGTTCATGAAGCCATCAGCTTCAGCCTCAACGCCGGCCAGCGCATGGTTGTTCCCTGGGTACCAGAGCAGCCTGGAAGGGAGAGGGGGGTTAGCGCCGTGCCCACAACCCCCCACCTGGGCACCCAGCACCCCACTCACCGTGTGGGGACCCCCCGGGCCTTGAGGGCACGGTAATACTCCAGCCCCTGCTTGGGGGGCACACGCCGGTCGTCCTCCCCCAGCATCAGCAGCACAGGTGCGCGTACCTGTGGGAGTGGCACAGCCTCAGTGCCAGCACTGCCGGTGGGGACGGGGATGGGGACAGGGATGTACCTGGTCAACATAGCGCATAGGCGACTTGTGCAGCATCTCCGTCCACTGGGCCGGGTCCGGCAGGGTGTCGGACGCGTAGGGCAACCCCGTCTCCGTCAGGCACCTGCGGGTGAGAGGGACGGGGGCGCGTGCAGGGCCGGGGCAGTGGGGGGCTGGGGGTGATGGTACTCACCAGTCAGGGATGTCGGTAGCAGCCACCATGGAGGCGATGTTCACCACAGGGTTGCGGACCACGCAGGCACGGTAGGAGTCCGGGAACTGGCCGAGGAGGTGGCACGCCAGAAAGCCCCCGTGCGAGCCACCCACCAGCGCCACCCGGCCAGCGTCCAGTGACTCCTCCTGCAGCACCCGCTCCACACAGAGCTACCACCACGGGGGACACCTGCTGAGGCAGGCAGCCCCGCTTTCCCTCCTTGGGGGTAACCGCAGGAGTACAGGGTGCCCCAGGGCTGTGTGCCAGGGCCATACCTGCACATCGCGCACATCCTGTGTGCCCACGTTGCCTGGCAGGGAGGCCACGCTGTCCTGGCCAAAGCCCAGCGACCCGCGGTAATTCACTGGGAAGGGGGCAGTGTCAGAGACCTTCCTTCCCCTGCCCTGGCCCCACCATGGGCACCGTGCCACCCAGCAGCCCTGGCCGCCTAGCATCACTCACCCAGCAGCACGGCGAAGCCCATGCGGCAGAGTGCCGCCGGGTACAGCATCCACCCAGCTGTGAAGACGGAGTGGGGGCCCCCTATGAAAGACAAAGGCAAAGTGGGGTGACGCTGCCAGGCCCGGGCAGGGGCATGGCAGTGGGGGGCAAGCTCTTACCATGGGGCATCACGACCAGGGGTGGCTTCTGGGCAGTGGGACCCTCGCTTGGGCGCAGCAGGATGGCATCGAAGTCCAGGCCCCCTGCAGAGGCGGGGTGGGGGGGTGTCAGGGCTTGGCCCGGGCAGCAGAGCCCAGCCCGGCCCCCCCGGGCACTCACTGTACTGGGGGTGCTCCTGCTCCGGCGGCGGCTGCAGGGTGCGGATGCCCCAGCTGATGCCGGGCACGGTGGGTGCATCCTGCAGGCAGACCCACCGTGCCTGCGCCTCCTGGCTGGCGCTAGGCAGAACAGCCACTTTCTGCACAGAGAGAAGTGTCGGTGCTGGCACCAAGAGGGGCTGGTGGGTGCTGGGGAGAGGGGTGTCACCTTACCAGCATGGGGGGGCAGCTAGGGGTGGAGAACCTGGCCACCAAGATGTCCCGGTCTATGGTGAGGACAGACCAGCTTCCCTGTGGACCATCTGGGGAGGAGGGAGGGGTCAAACCTCCAGATGCGATCCCCTCCCCAGCGCTGGCACTGGCATGGCCCCGCCGGCCTGGCACTCACCGGCCGTCAGCGAGGTTGTGGCGCCCGTCACCGTGTCCACCACGAACACATCCTAGTGGCATGAGGGCACAGTCCAGCAGAGCCCTGACTCCGCCCAGCCCCCCTGAGTGCCCCTGTGCCATGCCGGCACAGCAGCCCTCACCTGCTGGCTGGGCCGGGCTGTATCCAGCAC